ACTAGGTGCGTTCTACATGGTCTCCCTGACTACAAGACCAAGTTGCGACAACGAGGTCAACCCACTTCTATCACTTCCGTCAAGTCAGCTGTGACCTCAGCTATAATAGCTTTACCAGCCCAGTGCCAACTGAATGGGACTCGGTGAGTTTATGGCAAGAATACCACGCCGCAAAGATGAGAGAATCATTCTCGTCCGAGCCGGCAGGGGAGGAGGAACGGAAAAATTTGGTAGGGTCCTTTTTCCGCTGGATCCCTTCTGTCTCGGGCTCGCTTTTGACACACGCCGTGTCCCAGTGGAGCCAGATTCAACTCCGCTCGAGTGTTTGTTCTGCTTCACCTCGGTCTGGATGATTCGACCTCTCAGTCTGCGAGACTACTTTTCTGTCATGCTCGAAAGACGGGCGCCTAAGACGACAAGGTCGCTATCCAATACCTCAACTATCGAAGTAAGGAAAGACGGGATTTCCTTTGTCACGACTAAATCATATATCACTTTAATTAGAAGTGCTTTATGCTCCTGTGCCAGTAAATCCCAAGGGAATGTAAATATTGTTTTAACACGTTAAAGGGAGCTGCCGTTTTCCCTCTAATTTAGGCAATATTCCTACGATATTTTCGCTCGACAGACTAGCCGCTTATCAGTGTTTCACAGGGAGTGAATTGCTAAACAAGCAGCACTCGCATATCTTTGTCATAGGCTGAGTGTAAGAGAACATATGCAGTCTGATATGATGCTTTCGCTTAGAATTCCACAAGTTTGTTGTATTCTGGACAGTTTTCTGTTTGGGCTTGTCATACCAGCCGAAAGAGTGCCTGAAATTGTGTCAGGGCCGATGGTAGCTGCATCCTCTTGGCACTTGTCAATTCTCAATTTGTATACTTACTCATCTAACGTCAACTTATTTAACTTATGCATATATATATTAGCAACAACAACAACAATAGCAACAATAATGATATTGTTAGGGGGCTTTCAGTTCGCATGAAAGTGAATGAAGAAGAGATTCGTTGGTCGATCTTACCAGATGAGGACGGATGAATCTCGTTGTACTGCAGCCTCCAACAATATTATCTCAAGAGATTCATCGAAACCTAGTTTCTCTTCGTATCAGTAATAATAATATATATTAACAATAAAATATATTATATTATAATTATTTACATTAACAGTAATGTCTACAATGAGCTGACATCTTTCGGTCGAAGGAATACGTGCCAAAATGCCACGAAAAAGGCTTGTGAGAGAAATGAATTGTCGTGAACGTTCAATCGGTATATTCGTTGAATCCAGACATAATTTCCTTCTTCCTCCATATGCAAGACGGCTGTTTTTCAGACTAAAGGCTCCCTCAACTTTGCTCTGTTTCATATTCTACTCATATTTTCCCTACTTATGTCACTGCTTACTACATCCAAATAACCTTGGAAATAGGAAACGACTTAAAAAATTGATACAGGCGTACCTTTCATTTCGCTTGAGAAGATGGGTCGAAGGGATTCGTAGATTGATCGCACCGGATATTGCAGGTGGGTTGCCTTGGACTTTTGTTTGTTGAGTTGTGCGAAGGAGACCTCGGCCTACCTTCTTACGACCCGATGAACCTGTGCTGACCTTTCGTCCATCCTGTTACGGACATCGTCAGAGCCAAAACCTATTATTCACGAAAAATCACCAAAAAGCGCTAAACCATGAAAGGCCGGCCAGCTGAGATCCTACTTACTTCTTATACCTCAATTTGCGATCTTAATGAGGCATTCCATGATTTGGTTTGCTGACGTATGCTTGTCCTGCATGCATGTAAGTGGATCAAACTGATGCAGACAGGCGAACTGATCTGGTCACAACTTTTGTCAATGTAAATAAACTCGAGCATGATCCAGTTGTCCTGGGTCTTTTTAAACTTCGTTGATGCGTGTTTGTGTGTGCATGCGACAATCCCGAATTGGTTGACAAGTTTAGGTTCAAAAACAAACTCCAGTCTTCTCCTCTTACTCAGTGCCTCTTCCTGTTCCCTTTCCTTCTATCTCTTTCTCTCTCTCTCTCTCTCTCTCTCTTTCATTATATTTATAAGCCAGAGGTAGTTCTTACATTAGCTTCCTACATTCCTTCTTCTTAATCAGGATGTTGCTTGTTTTGTTACCTTCGACAGGTATCCCAATCGTTAATCCTTCTGCTTCTTCGTATAATTCACCATAAAAGAGAAAGTTGATCTCAGGCCTTTGGACATTTTTTATAAAGAATTCTTATGAATTCATAAAGTTATTAGACCAGCAAACAATATAATAAGATTATTTGGTAGTAAGTAAAGATGGAATATCGATGTACACGAATGTACCGATAAGTGGGGCCATACAGGCTTTAGGATTGACCTTAGATCTACATTCAGAGATAATATCAGGAAATTGGTTGAGCAAGTAGTCAAGCATGCTATTAACGAACTTAATAATGAGTCGTACACATTTTATCTCTAATGATAAATGATGAGAACAAACAGGAGGGTTAGCTATGGGATCGTGTTTGTCTTCAGTTGTAGCTAATAGCTACTTGGCTCAATCGGAAGTCCGGCTTTTTACAGTCACTCGTAATTCCGAAACTATTGGCCAGAAATATGGATGATTCGTTTGCTATCTGGCAGCATGGAAAAGAGTGTTTGAATGACCTCCTCGGTTTAATGAAAAGAGTAGATAAGGCGACAAAATTCACTATGGAGTTAGAAAAAGAGAATAGATTAACCTTTTTAGATGTCCTAGTTAGTAAAGAAGGGAGCAAACTGGGTAAAGATGTATATATGAAACCCACAAATGCTAGTTTCCTTCCTAATTTATTCTCGAACCATACTAATGGTGTTAAGGTAGGCGTAATTAAATCAATGATACAAAGCAGTTTTAGTCTAGCGGACGTAACTTATCAAGAATAGGAGTAAGAAAGATTAAGAAAAAGCTTAGTTGATAACAATTATCCGGCAAGATTAATTGTTAACAATTTCAAAATATTGAGAAATAGGGTGAAGGAAAACCATTATTTTGTCCAAAACAAAGAATTAGACAACTCTTCGCCTAGGTTCTTAATGCTACCATCCTGCAAAATTTCAAGAAAGATAGTCGAATTATTGAGAATGTATAATCCTCTGACGCCCTCTGCAAATCAGGTTGTTATAACGTTTTCTGCTTATGTGGTAATGTTAATGTGGGGAGACCTGTCGACCCATACATAAGAGACTCTCAAAACACAGAACCTCCTGCAAAGGTTTTGCTGATTTTTCGTGAATAATAGTTTCTGGCATTGACGATGTCCGTGACAGGACGGACGAAAGGTCAGCACGGGCTCATCGGGTCGTGAAAGGGTGAGCCAAGGTCTTCTTCGCACAACTCAACAAACACAAGTCCAAGCCAACCCACCTGCGATATCCGGTGCGGTCAATCTTTGAATCCCTTCGATCCGTCTTCTCAAACGAAATGAAAGGTATGCCAGTATCCATCAGTTAAGGGATTATTCGAATCCCTGCTCCTTTTCATATAACCACTTAATAACTCAGTCCTGCCCAGTGTCTCGGCCAGTCTCAATGCCACCTGATCTGGCCATTCTTCCGGAGTAGGCGCATGCCAAAAAAGAAGCTTTAGCTCCCAAGTTAGACAATCCCATGGCCTTTCCTGAAATCGGATCGATCGTTCCTGGCAGGCAGAAGCCTCATGTTGGTATTGCAGTTGTGATAGATCCTCATGCGAGATTTTTAGATGCAAAAGTTTTCGGTTCTGCTGGCAGAGTGAACAGTGCTCACCCTATTTCCATCGTCAGTACAACTTCAATACCATGTTGTGACGTCTTTCTGTAGGCAAGCCCGACGACTCGGTTGCCCTATCGCATGTCCTGAGAAGGTGGATTGATCGACTTTTCACAGTGAAAGAGGCTGATTGTTGGAGCCAAGCTCTGGTTGAACCGAAGAGCACCGGCCCGGAATGATGATATGATAAATCTGCATGTGACGGAGAGCCTTCATCAGAGGGTCCTGAACTCTTCGTGAAATGGTTAAAGGGAATTTATGCTTCAGTATCTGGTAAAACAAAATTTAAAAAAACTTTTTGTAAACTAGTCTGCAACACCTCTTTCCAGTTAAACAAAAATAAATAGCAGAATTTAATGAAAGTTTATAAATTAATTTCGGATAAATTATGCTTGTCCCGTGAGGGCGGTTGTGCAGACATCCCTTTTGTTAATTGCTTGTATCTTGTGCTTCAATGACTCGATTTATTTTTTCAGTCACATAGAAATTTTACACGCCTGAAAGGTAAGGGATTTCCTGTCTGGAATGCATGAGCTGGGCTTTCGGTGGAGGCGAGAGCAGTCAGTCCCGAAACTGCATGGAATTATAAAGCAGCCTAAGGAATATTGGCCTAACCTTTAGGCTTTATGTATTCGTATTCGGTTTCGTATTCGGTTTCTGGAGCGGATGGGACAGGCAGATCGAGGCAAGAGTTGCTGTCAGCTCACTGCGATTGACATCCAGCGGATGATGATATACATTCTTCTCCCACCTCCTGAGTATGCAGTTTCCATAGGACCGTCAACCTTGTCGAATTTGAAATTAAACTTTTGTACTTTTGTATTATGCAAGTATATCAAATTTATTTTTTTCTCAGAACATGTGGGGTCTCTTAACTGCCGCAGTTATAGTTATGCATTCCCATGTCAATTATGCTAGTACTTTATAGTGAGAAAAAATTATATAAAGCTTCTATTTATCCGCATGCTATAACAGTACTAAATGATATTAAACAATAGTTTAGTCCTTCTCTAACAAAAATCCATTTTAAACTTCTGATAGTTTGGAACGCTATTCACTCTGTATCTAGTAGTATCAGGGAGCTAACAATAAATGGCTGCCATATTAACCTCCTTCATCCTAAAGATGTAAACTACAATAGTATCGTGAGGCTTCATTTAGGGAAATCCAACTATCATTCTTTAATATCACCTTTGCTTTATTAAATGAGGTCTAGGCATATAGATTACGCTAAATCTTTCCTAACGAAGTTTTGGTTTGAATGAACATAATCCTAGCTATGCCCAAAGTCTGATCACCGCCTGCGATACTCCGAAGAATTCCTCAATCATTTTTGGATGGCATCAACATTGATCAGCAGACTTCAAAACCCAAAGGCTGGTGATTCACATGCCACAGAGGATTTTCAAAGTAAAGCCTTTTTGAAAGAGCTCATTGCGTTCCCATTTTTGATTTAGGATGGCTTACGATGTGACAGACTCGATTGTGCTTAGATCCAGATAGATTAGGATTTCGTGATTACTATTAAGTCTTCAATAAGAATCTCAGTCATCCTAGGCCGCATAAAGTGATAAAGGACTATTATATGGAATTTCCCCAAGTGACATCAGTAGGCTACACTCTGGAAGGGAAAAAAAGAGACTTGTTTCTTTGACGAGTTGTAGCATGGTGCTGAGAATAGCAAGACTTACTAACGAGGCCGGTGAAACGTCTGCGGATGTACCAGGAATTCGGTCAGACGCTGGGAATTATGATTAATATTATAGCAGAGGACTTCTGGCAGGGCGCATCCAACTATGTCACCCTGACAACACGATCAAGTTGCGAAAACGAGGTCATCCTACTTCTAAGTTAAGTAAAGTTATTAATACGATCGGATAGCTTTGAAACACACTGATTTTGTAGGGAATACTTTCATTTAGTATCATAGTGCATGAATAAGTTATTCCACTTCGATCTTACTAGAAGACGACGGCTGTTTGCCGTTGTATTGCAGTCGTTTGGCCTTAATACGATGTTCAGGTTGACGCAGTCCATGAGACCTCTTTCATTTTGGGGGGAAAAGGGGCCGAACTTTCGTCGATCATTTGAAGGCTCAAACTTATTCTTGTAAAAGTCTCACGTTAACGCTATTTCAAGTCGAACACAAGAAGCCTTCTTGATTTAGTATAAATGTTAGACATTTGCAAGAATTAGTTTCAGCATGAGGGAGGTTGTCTCGTGGACTGCATCAACCTGAATGTTGTTCATTCGCCAAACGGCTGTAGAACAACGAGAGATCGACTTTCGAAGCTCATCATCATGCACTTTCAGGCGAAATGAAAGTTGCCCAAACAAATATTTGTTTTTCGTGTATAAGACGAGTTTCGAGACTAACAGTAAATCATTTATATGAGATGTATTCACCCAATTTCGTTGAAGGTGATGAAGGACTGGCAGTAGAATTTTCCCACAATGATATGAGTTGAGCTGACGTTTCTATTGAATTTCACATAGCCTTGCATTCCCAAAAGTTGTTTTCATCCAGACATCGGTGGACTGCAGTTTCGACCTAGCATCGGTCTTATCAACATCCCCAGCTGTAGTCGAACCATGACAGTGCAGAATGGGAGCTTGACACGTTAGTCACTCAGTCACATTGCCCCGATTTCCCTTGAATCACGGAGCAGAGGGGAATTTCGACTCCCGCTGGGGGTGTTTATAAGACCTAATCGAGGTCGAAACTGCAGTCCGCTGGTGTATGAACGAGAACAACTTTTGGGAAAGCAAAGCTCTGTGAAATTCAATGGAAACTTCAGCTCTACTCATATCATGTGGGAAAATTCTACTACCAGTCCTTCATCAACTTAAACGAAATTAAGTGAATACATCTCATAAATATTTGTTTTATTTACGATCCCGCTAAAATGTTTTGACTCCAGCTATTATTTCGTATTGTCAAGACCTGACGTGGCATGGGCTAACTCAAGTTATTAATTTTGAAATGGGTACAAATAAAAAATATATGAAAACCAACTGTTTGTATCACATTCACTTTGTGGGTGTAGCAAAACTCTCTCTCTCTATATATATATATATATAAATCGAGCATAAATAGTTCTCAATGTGATTCAACGAATTCTCGATCTTTTTAGTTCGATGTTCCAATTGCCAACAAACTTGTCATTATCAGCAAAATGAAGAATCAAAGGCTACTCTCTCTCGTGTTCAGTTGGTCCTTTGGCAAATTGGGGACCCAACCCAACATCTGTCAGGATGGTCTGAGAGACCCAAGTTCGGACAAATGTAGTCTGAAATGTAGAATCAGAGAGAGTAGGCTCACTCAGGTTTTGTGGTAAAGTGTCACAAAGTGCCGGAAGTTCAAAATAATTCTTCGCGGTTGCTGGGCCGTTGTAACTTCGCCTCTACATCATTGACTACAGCCATTGAGAAGCACCCTTAAGCGACTCCTCAATCTGAGCGTCATTCCAACCGATTCTGCTCCGTTCCGCTAGCAAAACAGACATTTTGCCCCCCTGTACCATATCTGGTCTGTGATGACGCCAAGTCTCAGCATATATCGTTTCCAGATTCACAGAGGACTCATTTCATAAACGCAAAGCAAACCATACCCTCGAGATGGTGAGTCGAGTGACCTGATGCGGGCATTTTGCTTTGCGTCTCAACATCCTACCAGTCAAAACCTCCTATCAGCCCACTCTATCGGTCTCCTTATAGGTCAGTATTGCTTTGGTTTAGTTGCTTCGAGGTGATTCTGATGACCTGGTCATCTTTCTAGCGATAGCATGCCATTATAACTGACAAAAATCTGGCGCTTCACAACATACGAGTGTCTAAAACACAAACAACACACACACACACATAGACACACGCAGACCAGAGTTCAACACGATGATAAATGAGTTCACAATGGCCCAGTCATACCAGATCAGGATGAGGCTGAAAGGAGAAATTTTTTTAAATCAGTAGTTGTATTAGTAGCACTATTAGCATTCATGTATGGCCCGTCTTATTTTCAGCTGCTTTTATGATATTCCATCGTTTTAGGATGACGACTATTCGTAACTAAAGTAGTTTGTCTAAAAAGGATGATATTAAGCTTGAAAATCTCATATTTTGAATATCAAACGTCCCGTTTCCGCCCGGGAGGGTAACAACTTGTCTCGATTCCGAATCAGGTGGCTGTCCACGTGAATCCGCCCTAAGACAGTTGGCCCGTCGCTAAGGTGGTGGTGGACACTTGAGTATCTCGGATGTTCAATCGCCATTAAATGAAGCAAGGGCCATTAAAGTCTAGCAACCATTGACCCGCAACAACCATTAAGTCTGCTGCCGAGTCTGCCGTCTGCCGTGGGGCATTTCAGAACCGGTCTTAGGCACGATTCCGAAAAGCAGCCGTTATTTTCGGCGCAGGCGCGCGGGGGTATTGGGTTGAGTAGTCTGTTTCCCGTCAAAGGACACTCGTCTTTTGCTCTCCAGAGGCAGTCAGCTGGCCTGATTACGTACCCAATGTTACGAGTCGGCATGCAGCGACAACATGTTAT